CGCCCCTCAGCGGGGCGGGCTTGCGATGATCACAAGTACGATCTGCCTGTCCAAGATGGGCAGATTGTACGTTTTTTAAATTACTTTACAACCCTCGCAAGACAAAAGTCTTGCGAGGGTTGTACAGTGTATATCCACCTTTAGACAGTTGTCGCTATGAAACAGGTGTCTCCATTAGGTGATTTCCGCTTATCTCCTGTTCTAGTGACAGACATAACATTTTGGATTTCTGTCCCACTGAGAATTGTCACCTGGTCAGAGTGAATCTCCCTAGCGGGTACACAGGCGACAATAATTGACCTGACAGATGTTTTATCTCGTCCCCACTCTATGCAAAACTAAAAACAAAAGGAATTTGGCTTTAGACACACTTTAAGTTTAAAACAACTATATACACAACTATTTGAATGCATCTATAAGATTCTGAATGTATTTAGAGCAGAACTCCAGGCAAAATAAATCTTCACATTTGCAGTGGGTCTACCCCAGCACTTGAAGGGTTAAGTGCTCGCTTTGCCTAGGGAGCTAAAATAACAAAAGTATACCAACCTGAACCCTGTTCCCGGCTAACTTCTAGACTTCAGCATCTCTTCCCCTCTGCTCCAGTGATGGCATGTCCCTTGGTGTCCTCACTTCCAATACACTGAATAGGACAGGGTGACTCACTGGACCTTAGACCCCTGGACTAGAAAGGGAGCAAGGTTGAAGGAACCGGGCTAAGAGCCAGCCAGGATTGTATATCTCTGTTATTTTAGATTCCTAGGCAAAACAAACACTTAGCCCTTGCAATTGGTGTAGCCCCACTGCAAGGGTTAAAATTTGATTTGCTCTGAGTTCTTCTTCAAAGTGGAACTAAAGTCCCCCTGTACTTCCCTTTCATCAGAAAGCCCACGAGCTGACATCTTCACTCAGTCTTCTTCGAGGTTTGCCATCTTCCACCATGTTAATGCACATGCCCGGGATGACATAACTCTCGCGCATGCTCATGGGGGTTACTTCATTCCGGCACCAAGGCAAGTCAAGACAGTACTTGTGTGTGTGTTTGTCTCTTCTGCAATAAAAAAAAACTTGCCTGCTCACATTTCTTTTTTTTTTTTTGGGGGGGGGGGGAAGGGGGTTTAAGTTCTAATTTAAAATGGCTTTTAAAGTCTAATAAATGCCCCACAAATAAGTTATTTAATACTAATTAACTATTTAATTAACTGCCGCTTAGAGAATCCTCTGACTCTGACACTTGTGGGAGTGTCAAATTTCTGGTCCACCACCACTCACTGTGTTCCATTTCACTGGACCCTTCATCACTACATTGTCCTGGGCTGGCAGTATAACCCCATTGAGAGCAGTGGGGGACCAGAAATGTGATACTGCCAGAAGTGTTGGATTAATAGCATTCTTCAAGTAGAGTTTTCCCTACAATACAATAGAGATCAGAAAAGAGAGAGGTGAGGGGGGAACATTTTGTAGACTTTTTTATATTAGTTTTAAGTAACCAGTGGGTTGATCATCCAATAGCCTCTGTACCTGAATGACCTGAGAGAATGCAGCAGAAGAAGTGAGCCCTCTTGTGAGTAAAACATATTCCAAAGTATAGACCGGGACTGTGGGTGAGAGCTTCAACAGTGAGATATTTACAAATTCCAGCATCCAAACAAGCTGAACTCTGAGATAATCACATACTGTCTAAACACAAGAAGAATCACGGACGCCCCAAGGCTGGATTTCACCCAGAGCAGAGACTGGGTGCCACCCCCGACGTCATCGCGCATGCATGCATGGTTGTCTTATTGACGCCTGCCGGCGGCCATCTTGGTGATGGACACCGGCAGAAAGAGAAGGGGACGTTCACCCGCCGGGTCTCCTCCTCTCTTCTGACACTGTTGGGCTCTCAGTCCGTGACCGAGTGCCCGACTTTTTAAAGGTGGTGACACCAAAATGACTGTGAGTCGTTTTGGAGTCACCCTCCAATGGTGGCACCCGGGTGCGGGCCGCACCCCCTTGTGACGCCACCGAGAAGAATGTACTTTGGTGCTCTTGCCGAATCTTGGTGTGCTTTGTGTATTTCTTTCATATTTATGCTGTAATCTAGTGTGAAACTTTGCCTCTGTGCAGGAGCTACATGTAATAAAGACCAGTCACTGCTGCTCTCTCTACCATGCGCAGGGAGACTGGTCTTGTATTTGACTGGGTGGAGCCTTTTGGGTCCCTCCCACAGCTCTGCTCTCTGCACAACTTGTGTGCAGCACAGTGATTAAAACCCTGCTACTTTTACAAGGTAATACCTTCAATTGCAAATACATTTGTTCACACACAATCCAATTGAGGAATATATATATATATATATATCTTGTAACAAGGACACTCCACTGAAGACCGGAGGTGCAAGTAAAATGCAGTTTATTTGCTTTCAAAACGATAGATAACACGAAATCCAACATAAATAGCTTGCTGTAGCATAACAGATAGGGGCTCACCAATCCTCGAGTTGTCACGTACACTCAAGGTGTCCCAGTCTTTTAACAAGTCTCTTGCATATTCTATATGATGTTATATATTGTATATATCAGGTTTGATCAGTAGCCGTCCTTCTGTTCACATAACATTATTAGACATTACTCAGTATCATTGTATACATATGCAGTAGTGTATATCATGTTTGGTCAGTAGCCCCTTTTCTGTTCATAAAATATTATAAGGCATTATTTTATATGATGTTATATATAGTATATATCAGGTTTGATTAGTAGCCCCCTTTCTGCTCTTATAACATTAATTGGCATTATTGTATGTATTGTTATATATCAGGTATGATCAATGGCCCCACTTCTGTTTATATAACATTGATTGACATTCACCTATATTATGTTCTATATCAGTTTTGATCAGTAGCCCTCCTTCTGTTCATATAACATTCATTGACATTCACCTATATGATGTGCTATATTAGTTTTTATAAGTAGCCACCCTTCTGCGCATATAACATTAATTTACATTAATATGATGTTCTATATCAGTTTTGATCACTCGCCCCCTTTCTGATCATACCATATATCATTGATTGACATTCACCTATGATGTTCTATCTCAGTTTTGATCAGCCCCCCCCCCCCCCCTTTTTAAAGGGCCCGCGCGCGATTT